CTACACCCCCGCGGGTCAATAATCCGGGTCGCCGGTGAGAGAATGCGTGCCCCCCGCGCTTGTTGGCGCGCGAGCAGCGGCGAGCTCAGCGGTTGTGTGCGGGTTGCCGTCGTGATTGTGGCGCGCGTCCGGTCGCCGCCCCTGCTGCGGCTTCGGCTGATGAATTATCCATTTCGCGTCGCCGGCCAAGGGCACTCGTGTCCCGAGGATGGCAGTTGCAGGAGAGGAGAGAAAGAGAGGAGAGAGAGAGAGAGAGAGAGAGAGGAAGAGTGAGAGGAGAGAGGAAAGGAGAGAGAGAGAGAGAGAGAGAGAGAGAGAGAGAGAGAGCAAAGCAAGGAGATTTCTCTGCCAATCGCTTCGTGCGCCGCGGGCTGACGATTGAAAGACTTTCAGGAAGTTTTGTTTCTGCATTTTCAGAGTTAATATAGAGTTAGTCCAATTATATCCAGACGGAAGGATTCCTACCCACTCGGGATCCGCACTCTCAGCAGTTCAGCTCAGCCGCCTCGCCTGTTTCACGCACCTTCACCTGTTTGTTCCCGGGGTCGGGGCTGTATCGCGGAGGGCGAACGTTCCGGTCGGTTAGTTCATGATGATGCTGCTCGGCGCCGCAGGACAGCGGTCGGCGACCACGATGCCAGGAAAGGTCGTGGGGCCGCCCTCAGCAACTGGTTCTGCTCTGGGACGGAGGCGAACGGGACAAGCAGTGAAAGAGCGTTAGTCTGGTGGTCACGTGATTAGTAACGTGTGTGTTTCTTCTGGAAACATGAATTGGCCATCAAGGCGAGCGGGCGTGCGAGGGCAGTGCCCGGCCAACAGTGGCCCGCTTGGCCGGGGGCTCTGAATCGGATCCGAATGGCTCTGGCTGTGATTTCGCGGATTGAAGTCGACTGCGGTTCTTTCGTGGGTTCTATTTAGAATATTCGATGCCCATGCGAGCGCCCTTATCATTGCTTTTGCTATTTATACCACCGGGAGGGGGGGGGAGGAGGCGGGGAGCCCTAAGTTGCAGGTGAGAAGAGGGTGGGGGGGGGCACGCGTCGTCCCATCAAGCTGAAGGAAAACTATGGTGCTAATAGTGGCGCGGATGAGAATGGAAACATTAAAGTGTGTACGTTTCCATGATGAGGATCATGATCATGACAATATAATAATGATAACGATGATAATGATATTACTACTACTGCTGGCTGCTGCTAGGCCTACTACCATGCTGCTGCTGCTTCTGCTGCTGCTTCTACTACTTCTACTACTACTACCACTATCACCACCATCATCACCACTATCACCACTACCACCACCACCATTACCACTACTATCACCACCACCACCATACCATCACCACCACCACCATACCATACCATCACCACCACCACCCACTACCATCACCACCACCACCACCACCACCAACCATCACCACCACCATACCATACCACTACCATCACCACCACCACCACACCACCATCACCACCACCACCACACCATCACCACACCATCACCACCACACCATCACACACCACCACACCACCACCACCACTACCATCACACCACCATCACCACCACACACCACACTACCATCACCACCACCATCACCATCACCACCACCACACCACCATCACCACCACCACCACTACCACCACCACACCACCAACCACCACCACACCACCACCACCACCATTACCACACCACCACCACCACCACCACTACCATCACCACCGATCACCACCACCACTACCATCATCACCACCACACCATCACACCACCACACACCATCACCACACCACCACCACCCACACCACCACCACCACTACCATCACACCACCACCACTACCATCACCACCACCACCACCACCACCATCACCACCACCACCACTACCATCACCACCACCACCACTACCACCATCACCACCACCACCACTACCATCACCACCACCACCATCACCACCACCACTACCACCACCACTACCATCACCACCACCACCACCACTACCAACCATCACCACCACCACCACCATTACCATCACCATCACCACCACCACCACACCATCACCACCACCACCACTACCACCCACCACCACACCACACCCACCACCACACCATACCACCACACCACCACCACCACCATCACCACCACCCACATCACCACCACCACCACCACCACCATCACCAACCACCACCACTACCATCACCACCACCACCACTACCATCACCACCACCACCACACCACCACCCATTACCACACCACCACCACCATCACCATCACCACCACCACCACCACACACCATCACCACCACCACCATTACCATCACCACCACACCACCATCACCACCACCACCACTACCACACCACCACCACCACCCACCACCACCATTACCATCACCACCACCCACCACACCACCATACCACCACCATACCATCACCACCAACCACCACTACCACCATCACCACCACCACCACTACCATCACCACCACCACCATTACCATCACCACCACCATTACCATCACCACCACCACCACTACCACCATCACTACCACCACCACTACCATCACCACCACCATCATCATCACCACCACCACCACCACCACTACAATTATAACTACAACTACTACAGCTATGTTAGTACTAATGCTAATAATGTTAGTAATGATGATGATTTGCACACGACCCGTTCCACGGAACAAATGAATAAAGGCCTTTGTCTGCCGCCGCCTCTCTCTCCTCCTTCGATCTCTTCGATCATTGCGGCATCGTTGTTTACCTGTCTGTTTGTGCTGCGACGGCTAATGAGCGAGTGACGCCGCCCTGACGGAGGGGGCGACGCCGCTCTCGCCGAGGCTCAGGCGAGGGCTGCGGGCGTCTTGCGGCGGCGACGGGAAGGACGGGTCCAGGCGAGGAATCCAGAGGCTCTTGCTGTCGGTGGATTGAACTGGCATTCAGACGAACCGCCTCCGCTCGGCCGGGGCTCTCGAGGGCGTCCTGGCCGTCCCAGCGCCCACGGAGCCCGTCGCGCCCGAGCCGAGGGGGGGGGAGGTGCCGTTGGTGCTGAGTAGCCCAGAAGGGGGGCTTAGGTGGGGGGAGGAGCAAGCGACGAGAGAACTGAGGGGAAAGCCAAGGGAAGGGAGGGCCCAGGGGAAAGGGCCTCGGGAACGGAGGGCTGAGGGAACTGAGAGCCAAGGGTGGGAGGGCCAGGGGGAAGGAGGGCCAGGGGGGGGAGGGGGAGAGGCCAGGGAAGGAAAGAGGGCTGAGGGGAGGAAAGGGGAGGAGCGGAAAAGGAAGAGGAGAGCGGCAATAGGAGGGTGGAGATGGAAGGGAGGAAGAGGAGGAAGGGAGAGTACAGGAAGGGGAAGGCACTGTGGGGAAGCGGAGGGAGGAAAGGAAAAGGGAAGAGAGAGGAGAGAGGATCAGGAGGAGGAGAAGAAGGAAGACGGGAGAGAGGGGAGCCGAGCAGGGCGAGGGAGGAGGGAAAAGGAGAAAGGGATTCAAGAGGAGGGAGGAGGGAGGCATTATGAGGAGGGAGGAGGAAACGAGCGGGGGTCCGTGAAGAGGCCAGGAGGGAGATAGACTGTGAGGACTTCATGAGGAGGGGAAATGGAAGGAGGACTCGCGAGGAGGAAGAGAGAAGGAAAGGATAGGAGGGAGAAATGAATGAGTCACTTGAAAAGAAGGGAGTCATTTAAGGAGGGCCGGGGAGGGAAAGGAGGAGGGATTCATTAGGAGTGAAAGGGAGGGGGTTTGAAGAGGAGGGGTAATGAAGTGGAGGGAAAGGAAGGGTATTGAAGAGGAGGGGTAATGAAGTGGGAAAGGGGAAGGGTATTGAAGAGGAGGGAAAAGGAAGGGTATTCGAAGAGGAGGGAAGGGGAAGCAGTTCTTGGGAAGTATAACCCGGATGAGAATCCACTTTCTACCGGGACCATTTTTTCTCGCTGTTTTGTGGGCGTCCACGCGTGTTGCTCTCCGCCGAGTGGCTTGCGCTCATTTTAGATATGGCGCCGCGGTTCGTGTCCCAAAAATCGGAATCCATTTCAGAACTCCCTTGGCTTTGCTGCTCGTCCGTGCGACTACAGACACTCGCGGCCGCGCCTCTGCAGGTTTTCCTTGCCCATTAAGGATATGGATAATCAGATATGCGAAGCTGAGCTCGCCCGACCTCTACCTAAGAGTGAGCCCGGCCAACATTCGATCCCTTGCCTTCGTGCCTGTGCAGGAAATGCGGGTCGGGTCGCTGCTCGAAGGAGGCTCCCTACGGCCGCCCAGCGCTCACGCCGCCGCGACCCGTTGAACCCACCCGGGCTCGCCCTCACCTTCCCTCCTCTCCCTCCTCTCTTCCCTCCTTCCTGCCGTTCCCTCTTTCCCTCTTTTCCTTCCTGCCTTCCCCTCCTCCCCCTCCCCTCCCTCCCTATGAAGCCCATTCATCTCTGGCCGGACATCTTTGTCTGCGCCCGCGCCCGGGACAGAGGATTTCGTAGCTATGACCCGCTACCTCCCCCGCCCCGCCCCAGGGGAAGGCTTAGCTTTCGTCATTGCATTTGTCTGTCTGCCTTTGTCTCTGCGTCTGTTTGTCGAAATTATGTGGCCTTGTCTTTGACTTGTATGAGTGCTTATTATGCTCTCTTCCTCTCCCTCTCTCCTCTCTTCCTGCCACCCTCTTCTCTTTTTTTCCTCCCCTCCTTTCCGCACCCTACTCAACTCCCTCTCTTCTCTCTCTCTCCTCCCTCCCTCCCTCCTCAGCTCTCTTCTCTCCCTCTCTCCCTCCCGCCTCGTTCCAGTCGCCTCTGTTCCAGCGCCGCCGTGAGAGGGACCGACCAGCCTGTCTTCCAGCGCAGACACTAATGCAGTATTTGCAACTCCGTGGTGCGTGCAACAGATAACAGTGCGTGATACAGCGTGGCCTTCGGCACTGCCTTACGTAACAGTTCCAGGTGTAGTGGGCGTTCCCTCGCCTCTCTCGCGGGGGTGGGCGGAGCGAGAGATACGCCCATGTTACGCTGGATTCGCTGCCTCATGCTCTCAGGGCAGGCTTCGGTCTTTGCTTGTGAACTCTTGGGTTTTGGTTGCATTTCGGGTTTTTCTCGAGCCTTCTAGGGGTGCCGGGGGGCGCGGATGCCGGCGCCCGCAGCGGAATGTCTGCTCCCCCAATGGGAATGATGGCGATAATAAGAAATAATGAAAATAATAATAAAATTGAAATGATAAAAAATAATAAAATTGAAATGATAATAAAGATAATAATAAAATTGAAATGATAATAAAAATGAAATAATAATAATAATGATAATGATAATATCAATAACAATAATAGTAATAATGATAATGATAATAATAATCTTAATTATATAATAATAATCATAATTATTGATGATAATAATAATAAGAAGAAAGAAAGAGAAGGAGAGGGGTAGGGAGAGAGAGGGGAGGGGCAGGGGAGGGGGAGACGGAGGGGAAGAGGGAGAGAAAGAGGGAGGGAGGGGGAGGTCTCACAGGTGTGCGGCGCCCTTCTACCCACCTGGGCGCGAGCTGAGTCGCGCCGTGAGCGCCGTGAGCGCCACAGGGGGGGGGGGAGCTACGACTCGAGGGCGGCCTGTCTCCACCCGGATCTCGGTAGCCAAGGAGCAGCGGAGCGCGGAGGGCGCGGACGGCGGCGCTGCGGAGGGGACGCGGCCCCCGGTGGGATGTGGGAGGCGAGGGCCGGGGGCGGAGGTCCCTGATGGAATGGCGGGAGGTGAGGGGGCAAGGGCGGAGGTCCCCCCGGGATGCGAGGTGGCGGAGGTCCCCGGCGGGAGGCGAGGGGCGCGGAGGTCCCGGCGGGAGGCGAGGGAGCTGCGAGGAATGGAGACAAGCCGGGAGGGGAGAAGGGACGTGGAACTTCGGCAAGGGGGGAAGAAGAAAAAAAGCGAGAAATGAGCTAGTAGCGCCAAGGCAGTGGAGGGGCGAGGGAAGGTCGCTCGGGGAGAGGGGGAGTGGGGAGGGGCAGGGGGCTGTGAATTTGGAGGCGAAGGAGAGGGAGGGAGGGAAGGGGCTGGGGAAGGGGGAGGTGGATGGTTGGGTGCGCAGGGACGGACACTGGGGAAGAGAGGGGAGGGAGGGAGGGAGGGAAGATTTGGGCAGAGTAAAGGGAAGTGCGGGGAGAATTCTCAGAGGCTGTAGTTGGGGAGGAGCCCTGGGGCCGACGGGCAGGGCTCGGTGGCCACGGGGCATGGCAGGGAATGGGGTGGAAGGTGAGTCACGGCGCTGTGTAACGCTCAAGGTTATGCATACATTAAGCTACCCATGGGCGCGCGCGTGCACGCAAGCTAACAAGCTTACGCACTCATTACCGCACATGCATACCCGCAACCGCGCAAGCAGTTACACAAGCAGGGTAGCTCAGGCGCACACACTCACCTTTTATGGAGCAGAGCTACTGATTTTCAGCCGGGGCGCAGGTGGCGATGGCTGCGCGATTGCACTGACGGGGCGGCCTCCCGTTGAGCGAGGCGAGGGAAGCAGGAAGGCAGAATGGGCGCGTGTTTACGCGCCGCGCCTTCCCTCGGAGAGCAAAGGCCCGGCCCTCCGAGAGGCCGGCCCTCGTGAAGCGCCTTTCGGGGAACCGGCCGGGTAGGCGGGCGCCGCCGCACAGGGGTTGAACGTGACAGTCTTCGCGGGAGGCGCAAGGCTGTCCTCATTAGGCAGTGCCTCCGTCGTCGTCGTCGGAGGCCACCGGCGCGTTCCTCGCCCGTGAGCGACCGAGGGCGAGAAACTCGCCTTTGCGGTAAAAGCGCATGCGTGGTCTGCTTCGGTTGGATCACTGGTGTGATTCCGCATGAAGAAATCAGTGATTTCTCTGTATCTTCCTGGAATTATTCTGACTGTGTTCATATTTCTATGATGCTGTGGAGGGAGAGGGAAGAGGGAGAAGGGGAGGGAGGAAGAGCGAGAAGGGGAGGGGGGAAGGAGGAGGAAGGGAGAGCGAGAAGGGGAGGGGGAGAGGAAGGGAGAGCGAGAAAGGGGAGGGGAGAAGAAGGGAGAGCGAGAAGGGGGGGAGAGGGGAGAAAGGAGAGGGGGAGAGGGAGGGGAGGGGGAAAGGAGAGAGGGAGGGTTAGGGAAAGGGGGGAGAGAGAGAGAGAGAGAGAGACGGACAGATGCAGACTGACAATCAGTTAAGCAGACAGACAGACAGACAGGCAGACAGGCAGACAAAGGTAGAAGTTCTGTGAATATGAGCGGCGTAGTTGTCCATGATGTGAAAGCGCACCCGATTCCTGGTGCGCCTGAGTCCGTTCCAGCTTTCCCGCTAACTCTGCGTCGTTTCTTCCGCAGGTGAGTGTAGATGCAGCTGGGCGGCGCGTCTGCGGCCGAGGTAGGTGCAGCCAGGTCTCCCGCAGAGGACGACGTCGGGCGCGTCTCGGGCCTCGGGAGCGCTCGCGTCCTTGGGCCACAACACCCGGCGCCGCGCGACCGAATGAGGCTTGCAGGCAGTGCTTGCAGCTCGGGTTTGGGTGAATCGTGATCTGGAGGCGAGGTTCCCAGCGCGGCTGGGGCAGCTGTGCTCCTCCATGCGGAGGGAAACGAGGACAGCGCTGATTGCTCATCAGTAGAGAATATATTTTTCGATAATTGTCGAGCGCATTTCCGGCGGGCCGTTCGAGCATGGCTCCCGCGGGCACTGGCCGCGTGAACGCCGAAAGTGGCTTTGCGGGCGGCGGTGGAAGAGGGGCGTCGGAAAGGGCGCTAAGAGGATGGAGAAGAGGAAGCAAGGGTCCAGTAGAATCAAAAGAGAAGGGAAGGCGAAATTGGGTGCGTGGGGGCGCGCTGGGAAGGGCGGGGCGGGGCGAGATTTCCTGTGGATCCGCGCGGCATTTCCCTCGGCAGATCCTCCTCCAAGGCGACTGAGGGTCGGCTCCGCGCTCGACGAGAGGGGCAGGCGCACTGACGCGGAAATGCGTGACTGGCAATGACAGGACGGGCGCCGGAAGCCTGAGCGCCGGAGCAGCAGCCGGGCGGAGAGAGCATCCGTGTTGATCCGAGAAAGGGACATGCCGAGGGCGCGTGTTGAGTCGCCAGACGAACGGCGCGCCCAGGGAGCACTCCCGGCGCGAGTGTTTGCGAAAAGGTCCGGGACGGGAGGCGCCGTCGCCGCCGGTGCTGCTCGAAAGGTAGCTGAAGCCCTTGCAGCCGAAGAGAAATCCTGCTGGGGGATCCGAGGCCGGATACCCTGTCTCGCGTGGCGCCCGGCCTCCCCCCCCCACACACACATGTACATGTACATATGCACGTACGCTTGTATATACCTATATATACCATATAGTATATCCGTTGGCCTTCCGCGGGCGGCCGCGGGAGGGCAGATGGTGCGGCTGGGCACTCGGCGACAAGGTCTATGGAAGTACTTCTATAAACCTTACTCGGCGATGGCCACAGTAAGCCGAGATTCGGCCGCAGCGTCCCCTGACGTCGGCGAGGAAAGGCTTGGCGGACGTCCGCGCCCTCCAGCGCGAGACTTGGGTCGCCACCGGCGGAGGAGGTGTTCTCGCCCGGCGTCGGGGCAGCGCGGGGCTGCGTAGGAGACTGGAAGGGGAGACGGCGGAGGGCCTGGCCGACCAAAGTGGATGAACCCAAACGGAGTTTGGACCAAGACGGATATTGGGTCCGCGCGGCCGGCCACCCGTCTGCCCGCTCCTGGCGCCGCCGCGGAGTGCCTCCTGCCGCGTCGAACTGCGGCTCTTCCATCGCACGAGGAATGGAACTCACACTCTCTCTCTCTCTCTCTCCTCTGGCTCCCTCCTCCATCCCTCTCCCTCTCCTCTTTCCCTCTTTCCCTCTCTCTCTCTCTCTCTTCTCTCTCTCTCTCTCTCTCTCTCTCTCTCTCTCTCTCTCTCTCTCTCTCTCTCTCTCTCTCTCTCTCTCTCTCTCTCTCCCTCTTCCTCTCTCTCCCTCTTCCTCTCTCTCCCTCTTCCTCTCTCTCCCTCTTCCTCTCTCTCCTGTCGCCTCTCTCTCGCTCTCTTCCTCTCTCTCCCTCTTCCTCTCTCCCTCTTCCTCTCTCGGGACTGTCATCAGGATGTCAGGTGCCATTTACTTTTTGCTATCCTTTTTAAGTGTTGGTACACGTCGTATTCGCTGACAATTGTTTCAGCGGGGCGCGAGGGTAAGTAAGCTGGCATTCTGTTGATTGTTAGAGTTGGAGGTAAGCTTGTTGATGTTCGCAAAAGTGACAGTTGATGATGTTTTTAGGCAAGCGCTTTGTGGCAGTCNTGTGTGTGTATTTAATATATACATATATATATATATATATATATTTAATATATATATATAAGTATATATATATATATATATATAATATATATATGTATGTATATATGTGTATATATATATATATATATATATATATATATATATATATATATATATATATATATATATATACACCACTGAAGAACAGGTCGCTGGTCGATGGCGCTGGGGACGTGGGCAGCTAATCCTGGTTCCTCAGATCGCTCGGCACACCCTATTAACCGTCGCCCTCGACATGATTGTGCTGGCGTTCTCTGAAGAAAGTGCACCGGGCAGAGACAGAGAGAGAGACAGGTGGGCAAACTGTGTGTGGGGGGGGGGGTTGTGTGATAGCAAGGGCCGTAAGATGTAATCAAAATATGTCACATTGTAATGAAAGTAATTCAATTATTTACGTGATTTTTTTTTCATTAATTCACCAAGGATAGACAGAAGCGCGCTTAGGGAGACAATTGCAATAGTCCACAAGGACTTGCTTGAGTCACAATTGTCTCAGGTGGCAGGAAAAAATATCTGCAAAAGATAAGGAAGGAAGCAAAAGGTGTTGCGGTCTGCAAGGGAAAAAATGCAACAATGCAGAGTTCAGCAGTGTGCATTGCAATAGCGCATACAGTATGCGTCTGACTAATAGTAAATGTTCTATCTCATTTCACTGAAATTGTCTATCACACGTCACCGACAGCTAATTGAGGCGAAGCGATGGTGAGAATAGGTAATGCAGTCCTCATAGTTTCGGGAGCGACTCATTACATCAAATATGCTTTCTCAAGACAACATAAACACGATAAGTACGTAATGCAGGGCAAGAATACACAATTGGCGCGTCAGTTATCCTCTAGAAAACAGTACGCATGCAATTCTTGGGCAATCAACTTGGTTTGTGCGAGGCGACGTGCGTATGTGGCTGCGTGAGTGGTGAGTAGACAAGAGTAAGTGAATAGGTGAGAGTTATGAAATGAGTAAGTCAGAGAATAGCACATGAGAAGAAAATAGAACGCTGATAGATATTTTGTTAGAGTCATTAGTAGTTTGTTAAAGTAAGAGCATGAGTAAAAAATAGAATGGCTAAGGGTAAAAGAGGATGGGGGGAGGGTTAGGTATGTAGGCGGGGATGGGAATGTGAGCTGCACATAGAGATAATAATCACCAATCTGACTGCACGAAAAGAACATTCATACTAATAACAATAAACATGGTAATTGCAACATTAATCAACTACTATGCGGAATCATAAAAATGGTACTTTAAATAGTTAAATGAATGAAACGGTGCCAGGTCTATTACAGAACAGACCAAGGGCTTGCAGAGCAATGCATGATACAAGTAGATTTGGGTCAGCTTTTCTTGGACAACTGACAGCCTAAAGACACCCATCGTGGTTGTAAATGATATATACTTAAAATGAATTCCATGAGGAAAAGTGATGTCGGACCCAACCGTAGAAGGGATATATCATCGACGAGCTCATACTCAAAATGCAAATTGGGCATCCCATCTCGGGAAATGCCAGCGATAATCTCACATTTAGTTGTATAAGAAAGGGCACGGTGCGGGGCAGCGCTATATCGCTCTGGCAATGTGTGCTTCGGCACATACAGGAGAACTTAACACTAATTAATGTCCATAGCCCAGCTTGGGGTTGTCACCAAGGACCATATAATAATGGTGAATGAGGTTCGTGGTTAAGATCAATTAATGAAGAAAATGCACATGCATTGATGAATCATGAGAGCGAAAATCACGAACTACATGAAAGAAATCGTAGTAGGTGATAAATAAGGAATGTAACACTTTATACATAAAAACACTGAAGTTGATATTCATATAAACATACGATTGAAAACGGCACACGTTTCTTATATAATTATGAATATGAGAAGAAAAAATATAAAACGTTCGCTTTACTTCAAGATAATATCGGATAATAAACCTAAGAATCACAAGGACAGAAAAGATCAGGAAGACAGGTCACTTGTGGTCAAAATGTGATAATTAAGACAAGGGTAGGTCAACTGAAGGATATATCTATCAAATTGAACGCATTCTTTAAACATTTAAAAAATATGATATAAGTAAATATCACGATGTAAATTATTTACACGCTAGTGGCCTGAACAGATAGAATGAAAATAGGTAGTAGAGAGGGAGGGGAAATAACGGGTGGGGGGGTTAGGAGAGAGGAGGGGATTAGGGGGAAGGGAGGGAAATAGGAGGAGGGTAGGGGACAGGGGTAGGTGGGAAGCGTGGGGAAAGAGAAAATGTTTATTTGTGCATAATTCCCCTGTTATTTAAATACTCAATAACATCCCAGAAATGCATAATCAAAGCAAGCTGAAAAAAATGCACAATAATAATATACGAAATTAACATCAATATAGCTTCGGTTAATTCCGTGAGAGACAACTACAGTAAGAAAATATGTCAAGTATATGGCAATACTTATAACTCTAGCCGTGGCATACAATGTCCATAGACACATAAATTAACAGAGAAAATGCACTCTATATTTCACACACATAAATATGATTTAAGCAATATAAGCGATTTATGCAAACTAAGCTAGCATGATCGAGTTATATTGAGAAAAAAAAAAAAAAAACTTTCGCAAATGAATAGGGATTGATTCCCTTAAGAATACGACAATCCACCATGATGAAAAAAACAGAACATGGTAGATAACAGAAAAAAAGGAAAGAAAATGCACTTTGCACGGACACTTGTTTAGATATTTGAAAGAAAATCACTGCACTAGTGAAAAAAATGTACGGCATGCACACATGGGATAAGAAGAGGGAAAGAAAGGAAATGAAATGCTCATGGTGTACTTACACAAATTTTCATAGAGAGGAGGTGATCTTGTCGTAGCTGGATAGAGCGACATTATAGTGAATGTAGCTTTGCTTGCTAGTGACGGAGTGCCCCTGAAGGAGTCAACTACCGCACTACTGTATTTCACATGGGCTTTTCGTGTCGGAGCGGCCGAGCGGTAAGAACCCTCCGAAGGCACGGTGGGCCTGGGATAAATATGGCCACAAAATCAAGTAAAAGTGAAAATTGAAAACTAAAAGAAAAGTAAAAACCAAACCATAAAAGAAATGAAAGTTTAAATGTTAAAAAGAAATAAAACGCTTAAAACCGAAAGCC